CACTTACTTCCTCTACGTTGTTAAACATTTCTCTCCGCTCTTGTGTATTCCGATAACTCGTTGTGTATCTAAGTTGTTCACCCTTTTTGTCCTTATTAAGAAACTCGCGCATATTTGCGTAGACCTTGCTAGCATCGGCTTGGAACTGCTGGTTAAGGACTCTCGCCTCATCATTCTTTTGACTCCTAGAAAACCCCCTTTTCAAATTTCGAAGTTTAGCCTTCTGCTTTTCCATGAAGCTTACTAATTTGGCCGTTGATAGGCGGCCAAATTATTATTATCATTATTATTATTATTATTATTATTATTATTATTATTATTATAACAAGCAATAAACGCCTGTACTTACACATCACTTTTGGTGGTGTATGTGCCATACAACAACGCCTCGTAAGCTGTCCACTTTACTGGAAGACGACCCTTAAGAATTCATAGATACTCCATAAAAAAGTATTCATTTAAAAACATAACATAAAAAATGGGGCTTTAAGATTCCATGAAAAAAAGATTTTGAAGATCGAGGGGAGTCAAACTAGAATTACAAATTACAGCTTTAATCAGTGCATATGGAAGTTAAACTCATATTTCAATTACCTTTGTCTTTTTTTCATAGACATTTTCCTGTTGCACACCTCTGGCCATTCCAAAATCTGTTACTTTACATATTTCGTTTTCCCCGACCAACACATTACGGGCTGCGAGGTCTCGGTGGATGATCTAACCACAGGAATATAATAATCAATCGAATGTGATTACTATGGGACTTCAATGCTAAAACCGGCATAAAATCAAACTATTTAGTAGTTTTCGTAAGGCGGTTATCAGGATTGTAATACCACGGTAACCCATCTTTTGCGGACATTGCCGTCTCATGATTGAACTGCCAGTAGCCGCCTAAAGAAAAAGACAAAAAACTGTGGCTATCGCATCGCAAACTAAGAAGTCTGTGATTGCATACCTTAGGATTGAACTAACTGTTCTGACGTTTTTGTGACAAAAACTCACAGATTTTGAGGACAAGTAACTCATTCCATCAGCGATCTGCCAAGCAAACTTCATTAGCTGCTGTGACGTCAGATTCGTTCGTGGTTTTATATCCGGGTCTTTGAAGTAAGTATCATTTAATCCACGGCTCTTTCTCAGGTAACCCAGTAAATCTCCAAAAGGAACATATTCGATCAAAACCAACAGAGGCTCTGAAAAAAAACATAGGCAAATAAAAAGAGGAAGAATAAAAGAAAGTGGTTTCACTGAGAAAGGAGTTGTACACAACGCTAGAGCAAACTTGAGATAACAAGGTATGCTTCTATTTAGTTTACCCTATTTGCGTTTTAAAATTATCGTCCAGTTGAACAGCTAAAGGAAACAACTCACCAGTTTCTGTAACACATCCCAGAAGTTTTATGACGTGTGGATGTGGTTTGAGCTGTTTCATCGTTTCAAGTTCATTTACCAAGTCCTTCGTGTCCAATTCTGAGGCATCATCTAAAGATACGATTGTACAGTCATGTCTACTTATTTGAATCACTCCGTAA